TGCGAAGCCCCGTCCCGCAGCCCCCGCCCCAGCCTGCGCCCGCCCGGGGCCCCCGGCCCCGGCCTCCCGGCCAGGCTCCAGCAGAGAGACAACAATCCGCCGACCCACGCACTTTCCCTGGGAGCTGCCAAAGGTTTAAACTGACAAGGCCCGTGGAAGCGGGCGACTGCCGGGCCGCCGGGTCCAGCCGCACAGCGAGGCCGCCCTGGGCCGGGAAAAGCGATGTGGGATCCCCGAGGCTCCTCCGACCGCACCGCAGCCTCACCGTAACCCCGGCGGCTGACAACTCAAGCAGCGATCCCGGCTCTCCGGCAGAAGGGGGGGTGGCTCCATCCTGGACACGCGTTATCAAATAACTCCTTAAGGCGCCCGGCCCGAGCCCCTTCGCCCCCTCCACTTTCCACGGAGGGAACCGGCACCGGCGCTGCACGGCACACACGGGCAGAGCGGCCCCGGGGACCGGGGGGCGAGATCTTCTCCAGGCCCCATGATCCCCACCGCCGGAGCTGCCAGGTCCCACCAGAGCCACTGCCAGCCTCCGTGCGAGTGGGAAAAGGAGGGACGTGGTCTGAACCACAGCCTGAAGTCTGCTGCGGGGAAAAAGTCGCTGGGGAAATCCGTGTCCACTCTCAGAAACGACACAAGCGGCAGAGCTAAGTGTTCAACTAAAGTTTATAAATTAAAAAAAAAAAAAAAGTACAGCGGGTAGCTTACAAACATTCACAATTCATTTGAAGTAAATAATCTAGTTGAGTGCACAGTGCCATTAAAAGAGAAAGGGAGGGAAAAAAAAAGAAGGTGGGGAAAAAAAAAAAAGCAATGAGTTACCTTGAAAGAAAGAGACTGTAATTACATTGCTGAGCAGATCAGAAATCCCCGCCCCTGAAGGAGAGGTCTGCAGAAGAACTGTAAAAGGCACTCATGGTATTAAAATTTCCCATTACATCGATTTCTTAAAAAGCCTGACTAGAAATATTCACATTGAATATAAAAATAATAATAACAACAACTTTAATACAACTGGAAAGTGCGAAAAATCCGTAGCTCCTCCCTCCCCGAACACGGAAAGATCTCAGGAAAAAAGGAAAAGAAGAAGTCTGGAGTTTCGATATAAGTCTCACCCTTTTGTGACATATTTATCCTTTGCCAGGGATCATGGAGTACAGGAATAACATGGGCAACAAGAGCAGGGGGATCTGAAAGAGGCTTCCTTACATTCAGCACCATACAAGGCACAGGCAGTTTGCAACGAGTTGGAAGACCAAGGACTCAAAACAGACGTCAAAAATAATCCTCCTTACAATCCACCGAGGGAGTCCTCGATCTCCTCTTTTGAGCTGCATTTGGTTTTGCAGGTTGGTGGTTTTTTTCCTCTCCTTTTTTTCTCTCTCTTTCTCTCTCCCACACAAGATCGAGTCTCTACCAATCCGAAGCGAAATAAAACAAACAAACAAAAAGTCTACACCAAATACACTGACAACATGGATACCATGAACTAGTCGTGCCGAATCGCGAGAGTCCTCGGCTGGCGGGGTGGGGACGGGGTGAGGGTCGGGGCGGGGGTGGCCGAGAAGTCCTACGTTGGAAGAGGAGAGGGTGAGGAACCATCCAAATAATATTAATAATAAAAATAACAATAAAATAATAATAAATAATGTCCG